TTATAAAGGGTGATTTAGAAAATCTGCAACTATTTTCAAACCAAATGATGGAAGATCTGGACTCATTGTTCTGCAAAAACAAGATACTTCATGTACGACTCGTCCTTATAACAACCATAATACGACCTTCAAAACAAAGTAGGGAAATTACCCCATAGAAAAGCATTGTGCTCATAGGGTTAGATGAAAGCAAGGTGCAGGGTTAAAAAAAAAAAAAGATCAAAATGAAGTTTGTCGTCTGAGTTCGTTGGAAGAGGAAGTCTTACTAATAGAGTCTGGAACTGTGGTAAGAAGTTCTGATTTGTCTGAAATAAATGTAGAAAATAAAGGACTGACTGTTTGGAGAACTGAAAAGAAAGAAGAAGGATAAATATAAAGTGGGAGAGGGTTTGTAGTGTACTTAACAATATTGAACAGGAGTCTCGAGTGATTTTAATGTTTAGCAGTAAGAGCAGAAAAATGCTTATTTTGAGGTGAATCAGTTTCATGAGGTCTTCAAGTCTCCTCCGGGTGAACAGAAAGTTTCCATTTATGTTCTGCTTGAGTACCAGTTTGCCATTTTTTCTTGAATAAAGAAGCATATAAATACGACCACTTCGGCGTTATGGGACATACTCGTACACATACTTCTAGCTAATACAGTCTAGGAGATAAGTGTAGTGAAATAAAAATTCCCTTTGCTTTTGTCTGAACACATCTTAAAAGATCTCCAGTATGTCCTGATGTTTAATGTGAAGATACAAATAAAAAAACAGGAGAAAACAAATTTTTAAAAACTGCCTTTTCTGCCTTTTCTGCAGTACTTTGTGGCCTACCCACACCGGTACCATTTCATACGGGATGAACCACACAGATGCCTCCAGGAAAGCCCGTTCCTAGTCCTAATGGTCCCAGTAGGACCCCACAACAGAGAGGCCCGAGACATAATCCGCAGCACATGGGGGAAAGAAACCACGGTTCTGGGCCGAACGGTCAGCCTCTACTTCCTGCTGGGACTGTCCAAGGAGGAAAACGGTACAAAAGACCTACAGGAACAAGTGAGTGGATTCATTGTTAAAGTTCAGGTCTTCTCTTTCACCCCATGAAACAAGAGAGGACAGAAAGAGTTTGTTGGGGTAAACTCAAAAGCCCATTTCTGTTTTCTTTTTTGCAGAATAAATAGTGAATCAGCTTCAGCAAATGTTACATAAAGCTGACAGGATATAGAGCAGAGGAAGGACAGAAGGTTTCTTTTTGGATCTTGAAGGCGTTTTCCTCTTAATCATGAGGCTTCCTCGGTAATAAACTAACTGGTGGGAAGTTCCAGCTATTTATTCTCACCCTCTAACCGGATTCACATCACACTTGGGGTGAATGGAGACAAACTGCACAGGCAGGAGTGTACATTCTACGTACCTCATCTCCTCTGTTTAGTCATGGCTGTTTCAGTTTCAGCTTTCTTAGCTTCTCTCTCAAACCACTGAAAGCTGAATATTTTCTTTCTAAAAGGTGGGCATCGGAGTGTCCCTCATCCTTAGCAAAGTTTACCTCCACCTGCTTTCTACTGAAGCATTAAGGATTGCTGTGAGGATGATTGAGAATCTACACAAATATTTTACAACTTAGAGAGCTTCAGAGCTGGTTAAATTGGTTTCTATGTATGCTGTGATATGAGGACACTGTCTTCTGCATTGTTTCTTGAAGCACAAAGGATATTGTCTTTGCAATGTCAGTTTGAACCACAACTTTCGTTTTGCCGCTGTGGCTCCTGAAAGCTGTCCTCTACCTCGACCTAGCAGCAGAACGCATTTGTTTCCATTAACAATAACGGAGAAAAAAAAAAACGTTGACAGCCACAGCACGCAAATCTAGTGCACGATCTGCATCAAGCAGGAAACAGGCAACTTTGATGACTAGACGGTGACCACGTTGCAGCACGAGTTCAGCAAATGTTTCACTCAGAGGTTGGTGGAGCAAAAGACGAGAGTTTAAAGAGAAATCTTTTGAGCAGGGCTGTCCAATCCTGGTCCTCGAGGGTCACAGTCCTGCAGGTTTTAGACGTTTCCCCTCTTCCAACACACCTGATTCAAATGATCAGCTCATCATCAAGCTCTGCAGAAGCCTGATAATGATCATGTGAATCAGGTGTGTTGGAAGAGGGAAACATCTACAACATGCAGGATGGTGGCCCTCGAGGACCAGGATTGGACACCCCTGCATGCAACTCCAAATAAATTCTGAAGTGTCTCTTCATCTGCTGGATGTGTAAATAAAACGTACCTTTAAACTTCAGATTTTCCAGGAAAGCCGGAGACATCGCGACATTCTCCAGAGTGACTTCTTGGACAGCTACAATAACCTCACCATCAAAACCATGGTCATGTTCGAATGGCTCAGCACTCATTGCCCCAACACCTCTTACGCCATGAAGGTCGACTCGGACGTGTTCCTCAACGTCCAGAACCTCGTCGACATGCTTCTGAAAGCTCGCAAACATCTCTACCTGACAGGGATGACGGTCTGGGGTGCTCCTGTTCTTCGAGACCCCACCTCAAAGTGGTTCCTACCTTATTCTGCGTACCCTGACCCAACGTATCCCATGTACGCTCTGGGAATGGCCTATGTGTTTTCTCTGGATTTACCCAAGAAGATATTGGCGGCGTCTGCACATGTTCGAGCCATTTACATTGAAGACGTGTATGTGGGTCTGTGTATGAGACATTTGGGAATCACACCGACGAATCCTCCTCACAGTGGCTTGTTCAGGAACGAGGTGCCTTTTCTCAAAAGCAGCTGTTACTGGACATCTGTCATCACAACGTTACTGGAAAACTCTCAGCAGCTTTCGGACGTATGGAGAACATATCAGACTCAAGTACAAAGTGACTGCTGAACACTTCCGCCTGTGCCTTACAAACACTGTGATACACCTCA